CCTTCAAGAAAAGAGGGGGTGGGTGGGTGGATGGGGCTAGAGGCTGCTAAGGTGAAACTGATTTTGGCAAATGACATACCCTCTAAAAAAAGAGAGGGTGGGTCTCTCTTTTCTTAGAGAATATGTCATTTTCCAAAGTTAGTCTTACCTTAACAAATACTAGCCCCGTCCCCCACCCTTTGTTTCCTTAGAAGACATGTCATTTGTCAAAATCAGTCTAATCTTGCTAAGTACTAGCCCCACCCGCCCCTCTATTTTCTTAGAGGATATGTCATTTGCCAAAGTTAGTCTTCCCTTAGCATGGACTAGCCCCGCCCATCCACCCTTTGTTTTCGTAGAAGACATGTCATTTGCCAAAATCAGTCTAATCTTGGTAAGTACTAGCCCCACCCACCCGCCCTCTACTTTCTTAGAGGATATGTCATTTGCCAAAGTTGGCCTTACCTTAACAAGTACTAGCCCCGCCCACCCACCCTTTGTTTTCTTAGAAGACATGTCATTTGCCAAAATCAGTCTTATCTTGCTAAGTACTAGTCCCGCCCACCCGCCCTCCCTCTACTTTCTTACACGATATACAGATTTTTTCAAGTTCATCCAGCAACAAAACACCAGATTCCTTTAAATTTATCCGAAAGTAAAACATCTGGGGTGGGATTTTGTTTCTACCGATACGATACAAAGCGATAAATGACAAGGACGAAAATATAAATTTCAAGTGAGAAAGAAAAAGACGACCACCTTTATCGATACCGATATTTTATCGTTATAGAAACAAAATCCCACCCCTGGGATCTAAAATTACCTGCGAACATTTTAAACGTAGTGTTTTGAAAATTTGGACAATTTGTAATAAGTACGTCAAAATTTTTCAACTGCTTACTCAAGTTTTGCATATATTTGTACATTCTAACTGAAATGGTAATTAAACATGGTCATGGGCGAAAGAAATATTGACTAAAAGTTGTATTACTTTTTGCTGCTTATAGTCCAGTCAAATTAGCGATCAACCTCGGAATGAGAGATAATAAGCTGAATTTTCGTATATACCTTCATTTTAGCGTTCTAAAAGTTGTCTCAAAAGTCTCATAAAATCTCGTCTCTGCGTCGTAAGTTATTCAAGGTCAAAGGTAAAGAAAAACAGTTTTTTGCGATTATCTCGGTTTCTATTGCTCCAATGATGTTAACATCTATTATCGTAATTGTAGAGCACAAAATTTGGGACAAATTTTATTTGAAATCATTTTTTCATGCGCTCAATCGTTTTTGAGATAGAGGGCAGTGAGTGCGCAGCGCTCATCCATACGTACTGTAATGCAATCAACCGTGAATATCTGTGAATATTACCTTTAATTTTGAATAATTTGTATTATTTATCAGTTAATTCATTGCATTTAATAACATTTTACATATTTTCAATACATTCATTTAATGATAATGATACTTACCTACTTTGTGGAATTAAAAACTCTTTAAATGAAATACTTATTGTATGTATATCTTAATTTATTGAAAGTAGATTTTAAGTAGAAAAATAACTAAGTACTTTATCTTTCAAATGTGTAAGTTTTTATATATTAGATAATATATTATACTTGTTATATTATTATATATCTAAAAGTTATATTAATTTTTTCAAAGTAAAAATTTAAGGAAGTAAAACGAGTTAATGTATTTTAATTTTATCTTTGTTCAGTACCTGTGCATTTCTTACGATTGAAATTGAATTGCAGTGAAAATCTAGAAATCTTTAATAATTTAAAGAACAAAAGTATTAATTTTCTTCTTCTTTACCGTCATCTTCTGGACGTTCGGGAATTTCTGTTTCATCGTCATCATCTTCGGTGCCCTGAATCGTTGTTTCCAGACCTTCCAGTTATAATCATGATAGAAGAATAAGTAAATATTTAAAACCTTACACATTTTAAAGATATAAATAAATTGAGATATACAATAAGTATTTCATTAAATGCGTTTTTAATTACACAAAGTAGGTAAGTATTATTCAATGAATATGTTGAAAATATGTAAAATGTTTAAATACAATGTATTAATTGATAAATAATACAAATTTTTCAAAATTCAAGGTAGTATTCATAGATATTCACGGTTGATTGCATTACAGTACGTATGGATGAGCGCTGCGCGCTCACTGCCCTTTATCTCAAAAACGATTGAGCGCATGAAAAAATGTGTCAAATAAAATTTGTCCCAAATTTTGTGCTCTACAATTATGGTAATAGATGTTAACATCACTGGAGCAATAGAAACCGAGATAATCGCAAAAAACTGTTTTTCTTCATCTTTGACCTTGAATAACTTACGACGCAGACACGAGATTTTATGAGACTTGTGACACAACTTTTAAAACGCCAAAATTAAGGTATATACAAAAATTCAGCTTATTATCTCTCATTCCGAGATTGATCCCTTTTTTATCCTAAAATGACTGGACTATTAGTTGTTAAACGTAGCAAAACAACCGATTTTAAAATCATTATAACCCCATCGATTTTCCGCTCGGTATAGTAAAACGCTAATTAAAATTTGTCTTATCGTCTCCATCAAAAATTTGATGACATCACCTCAAAATTTTGAATAGTAAATTCTATTTATATTTTACAAATTAAAACAAGTCAACACTTATTATTTATGAATTCACCTTGATTTTAAGTCTATTATCATTGTAATTTTTATTGCTTAATGATTGTGCTTCAGAAAGAGACCAATGCTTATAAATAAAATGTACTAATTATTTCATAAAAATTATTAGCAGCATTATTTTCCAAGGTATTATTTTTTTTTGAAAAGTGTTAAAATCGTGTTTTTTGGTATTTCGAACCCCAATAAAAATTAAACTAGACGTGTAGAAACGGCAAAAATCATTTTTACAGAAGGTTTAGAATACAAGGAACTCATTTATGCACAAAAGACGAAAAGTGTATGACTTCGATTTTTTTTTTGTAGACCTATGTTATTAGTAATAAAAATAACACCGATTTTCTATATGTTAATGGAAATTTCTTTTATGCCTAATACAAACTAGGATCGAATGCCACTTATGTCTTAGGAAGGAGAATCCGTTTAAAGTAAATATAAAGAGATACATTACTTACACCAGTCGAGGAACACTTGCTGGTTAATGGAACCCGAAGAATCGGACCGAAAGACAACGAATCGTTAAATTTGTTAATCAATTTGTTATAGCCTCATATGATATAAAGTAGACATATTTTCCATGGTTCATCTTACTAAAAAACTGATCGAATATCAAACACTAGCTCTTATATGTATGTAATAAGTAGTTTTATTTTACTAATATATAATTAGGAAATATTTACCCTTCAATTCCTGTTAATTTAGGCAGTTCATATGAAGAAATATGACCCTTCTTTTTGACAAAACATTACAGTTGCAATTGTCTTCGGTTTATCAGACAAGATTCTTCTACCATCATATATAAAACTGAGTTTGATGAAAAATGTTGACAAAGCAAAGAGCAAATATTGGCGTGAATTTTACTACCTTAGACAAAAATTTCACAACAAAACCGAGACGAAAATTAAAGAGGGAATCTTTGTAGGCTCGCAGTTTATCAATTACTGGGAAATACGAGATTTGAAGAGGTTTTAATCGACTTGGAATGCTTGTAAGACAGTGAGTCGACACTTTTTGGAAAATACAAAAATTCGAAAATTATGAACAATCCGTTAAAAAACTTCATAAGACTTATTGACTCGCTCCCGAAGGTGGCCTCCATTTAAACACATATTTCCTTCTCGATGTTTCGCAATCGCGGTCTTTCTGGAATCCATCGCGTCTTCCGCTTCCAGGTCGTTCTTTAGCGAACGTCGCTTCGAGGCTTTTCTGAACGGATACGTCGCGCCGCAATCGAGACTTCCTATAACCCCCTCCAGGTTTATTTTTATGCGAACGCTGCCCGGGTGACTTCATCGACGATGAGTCATTATTGCCGTATAGACTAGAAGCCATAGGCGTCGTACTGGAGCGGCGTATGGGTTTCTTTCGTAACACTAATAAGCATTAAGTTGTAACATATATCTTAAAACTCTTTTGTCAAAAAATCGTATGAAAAAGTTTTTTCACTGTTTTGTTGGCGATTTTATCAAACGATATTTACACATGGCAGTTATAACAAATTATTATTAAACTAAAACTGAAATGGCAATTGTAACAAATCATAAAACTAAAACTCAAGGATATACCTCATAAAATTTTATATATTGAGCTCTTTCTGATGGGTGGAGATGTGGTAAACCACTGTTGTTGATAGATGTACCTACACTGCCGTTGGAGTCTACCTGGTTCTTAATCCAGGACCGGACTTGCCGTCCGTCTTGGTTATCTACGTGGTTTATAGTGAAAAAACAATAGATATTATATAATTTATTTATAATAAATATGTGTATATGTTATACATCGTTATACAGGTTCATCGTCACTCGAGCAATCAAAATTCACTGTACCCACATCAATTTCGATGAAATTTGAAATTCAGAGAAAGAATGGGATTTAGGAACATCCACCCCTGTCCTGCAATGAATCATCTGATACGCGTCTTCGATGACATGAACCGACTAGCCTCTTCTAAAGTGGGGTGCATATAATTTTATGAGGTATAACCTACATGAATAGACTATACATATTTAAAGGAACGTGCCATATTGAATTATTGGATCTTGAGAATGAAATTTTCTTAATAAAACGTCATAATTTACTGTAGAATAGAGTAGCTGGAATTTCTGGATTTATATCTTAGTAGTTCTTTGACGGAAACATTTTTCAGTAACTTTCAGCTGAAAATAAGCTACGTTAGCTCTTGTGAAACATTTTTGTTATCTTAGAGTGAAATCACGACTTAATGAAACAAATAATAAATACTCGTTTCTCATACCCCGTCGACATATTAAAGCGTAGGCACTTGACACAAGCAGACTTATACATCTTCACCCACAATCTACACGCTGCTTTTTTTCTTCTAGATCGAAAGGGAAGTCATCTTGTCTAGCACCGACAAGAACTCCAAGATCCCGATCCTCCACGATTACAAGAAAAGAACTAAAGGCGCCATCGCCCCCGACGTCCCACCCAAACAGATGGCTGCTTGGACGGCACAGGGCCAAACCCATCAGATTCTGAGCCCCGATCAGGTATGTCTTATTTATATTCTTGACTTGTATGCGGAGGCGCTATGAGGAAAACAGACGATTTTTTAAAGTCGATTTTTGTAGCAGGCTCACGTACGATTTTGAACACGCGATAACAAGGTTCTTGTAACTACGCGCACATTGCCTTCTATCGGAATAGAATTTTAATAGAAGCGGATGGGGTTTGAGAAGCGCTTTGTTGTTGATGTGATCATGAATTAAATAGTTTCATTGTCTTCCACATCTTCCATTAAGTGTTTAGTAGTGTTCTTGAAGATTTAGTTGTGTGTCAGACGAAAGCGGGACTGCGTTCAAGAAGAATGGATTATCATTTTACTAAATTAGTATTAGTTGGTTCTAGGATATAATTAATTTAGACCCGTTTTTATTTTCGTAGAAATCGATTTTGTAAATTTTAGGTAAGGACGGACTCAAAAAAATCTGCATACCTTTTCTGAGTAATTATTTTGGAGACCGTCTCAATGCACACAAATTTTATTTTGAAGAAAACAGTGTGGTATATAGGTTTTGAGACAAATTTTAAAATTTCATTTTATAATTTTTTTACTATTCTTTGTATGCATAAAGAATATCTCAATATAAATTTTAAGCGAATTTAACAAAATTACAGATACACATGAACAAATTTATTCGATTAGCATTTTACTATCAACGCAGGTTTTTTATAATAGACAGTAATAAAAATAATTGGTGTATAACATTAACGATTTTATTCATCATCAAAATTCCTTTTTCGCATAACATAATTTATAAAGAACTTATTTGCACCTTCAATATTTTGAAAGTTTTCCTGTATTTGGAATTTTGAAAAACATACAGTTTTAGACTTTCCTCTTTGACTGTTAATATGATAATACCGCTATAGCTATTTTTAAATATAATCTGAGTAATCTAACGAATTCACATCGTCTGAATTTCATGATATCATTAATAGCGCCAAAAAAAAAATGGATAACCGTGTATTTTGGATAGGCAGTGATTTTTTTTCAGTTTCGAAAAGTAATCAGCCGTCAGTGTAAACCTGAATTTTCCATACTATCGAGGTGTTGTCATTAGGTCACTGGCTTAAAAATAAGGGTGAAATTATTTTTTTTATTCCATTTTGACAATTCAATTTGGATTTAAACTGAATAAACTCAACCAAATTCGTACAAGTCGATTAGGCATATTTGCGACCTTTGCATGATTTAGAACATGAAATAATTGAATTAGGAATATTTATTATTGTTTAACGCGTGATACTCTATTAACCGTGACAAGACATAAACTAATTAGAAGTTTTATGTTCATTGTGAAGGACGACAGTTCAAATACAAGTAAAGTTTGTCCAGAATTATAAGAATTTTATGGACTCCCAAGGTTAATTCGTTTTACAGCCATGTCGTCAATTCTATTGTACAGGTAAAGAGCCTGTTAGAAGAAAGCCGATGTTTACTGTACCTGAGTTCGCCCCGCTCATCAGCTGTACAGTAAAATTGACAACAGGGCTATAAAAGGAATTAACTTTGGGAGTCCATAAAATTCTTATAATTCTAGACAAACTTTATATGCTTAGATTACTGTAGACTGAGAGCGGATTCGTATACTGCAAGTACAGGAGTATATTTTTGTATAACATTCAACTCATTTGAAAAAACGATTCATTGTGTTTGGAAACCCGTTCAGAGTCTCGCGTTATTAATAAAAACTTCGTTTTAACACAACAACAAATATATTGATACGTTTCGTTTCGATGTTACAAGTTTTAAGTCTCGCTTTCGAATGATAAATATACAAAGATTATAAAGGGTGGGTAAACCCGATTCGGTGCGCACAAGGTCGCTTCCAGAGAACCGATATCGTTGGCCTGAATACATTGAGATGATGTCATCAAATTGTTGGTGGGGATGATTGGTCAAATTTTGACTAGCATTTAATCATCTACATGACATTTCTAACATACATACAAAATTTGGCAACAATCGGTCCAGCCGTTTCGGAGATTATGTGTCTAATAAAAATGGCTACAGACAGACAAATAGATAGACAGACGGAAACAGGGGACTACTTTTTTCGTACTGTAGATGTCATGAAACGTCGAGAAAACATAAAAGTGGCAATTCGTCCGATGGACTATACTTCCCTAGCTTAGATCATTTGCAACAGTCTTCCATAGAAACTTGATTAGGCTTTCCTTATATTCTGTACCATCACATCGCCTGATATTTTTATTTTTTCACTTACAAGCTAAAACGAATTACTAATTAGAATTTAGTTGAAGTATAAATTTGCTTGTATGTTAATATTCTGCCCTTGGAGACATCTTGCTGTGATAAGCTGACGATGGTTGGCAGCTCGGTTCCGCCCTTAGGATCAAAACGAATATGGAGTGTTAATTTGGTATCCCATTTATAACATTTACATAAACCAATTAGAATCTGTTCGAAGACAGTTTCTGAAGTTTTTGACCTATTTTGTCGATGGCAGCTATCCCCAGCAGGGCTATGATGATTCCTTACTTTTAAACAGATTTAATTACTTACACTTAAATTCTCGTCGCACATTAATTGGTATTAAATTTCTTTTCAATCTTGTTCGCAATAAGTTAGATTGCTCATGTCTTTTGTCACAAATTAAGTATTTGGTTCCCCACTTCAGCTCACGTAATACATTTTTTCCACTAGTAGCATTACAATGGCTAATTGTCGACTTGTCTAGAGGTCTGTAATTTGGAAAATTGTGAACCTTGGTCAATAATGTAAACGTGAAGTTGGCCACCTAATGTGACAACTGTCCACAACTGTCAGAAAAACTGAGACATAACCTGAAAACGATCATTTTGGAAAATTTGCTTTTAAATTATGCCCTGGAATGATTTCCAAACCCTGAATTGATTATAAATTGAGGATAAATTGGTGAAACAAAGTTGATGAAGTTGATGGGAGTGAAAATGAAGTTTACGGGACTGAAACTGAATCATGGTTCCGATTTGGTTTGACTTGATTTGCCGTAGATGAGCTTTGGACGATTTCGGCGATTTTTTTTTTATTGAAGATCGAGCCGTCGTTGTATCCTTCTGCTATGCTGGAGGATTTCCATTCCCCGTGTCGCTTTAACGATAAAAGGTCCATACCTTTTTCAGCCAAATTTGTCGCGGTCGCGTAAGTACGACGGAATGAGGAGGGGTACATGATGGTTCACTTTACAACATTTTTCACACAAAAATTTATTAAAAACGGGAAATATGGAGGAAATTAAAACAAAAGTTCTGGACCATTTCTGGATTGTCAAAAAATAATAAAATTCCAAAGCTTACTAAAATGACGTGAGTACACATTTTTATTGATGCACTTCAGAAAAAACATTTTGAAAATTCGCAATCCTCAAATGGGCTACTAGTGGAAAAAATAGTATATTAACCACGTTTGTGAAGCCAATTCTAGACCTCGCGCTTTAGAGCCCTCGACGCTGCGCGTCTCAGGTTCTAATTTGCGCTCGGTCTAGAATGTCTGTCTTCACAACCTTAGTTAATAATATACTATTATTATGGTACTCCAAACTCCAACGCTTTAGCAAAGTCTCCAATCTCAATTAAGTATGTGCTGACTTTTTGACACACTGTCATATCTAAGTATGTGACATAAATGCTGACTCCGTAAGTTTTATTAATTAATGTGTCCTTACAACTTTGAATACTATACAATAATACTTTCCTTTGAATTATAGGTATTATTTTTATTATTGTCTTTATGGTTCTTGATTTAGTTTATCATTTTGTTTAGTATTTGTTTACGCTATTTCAAATTAGGTTATGTATGAGGACTGATACTTTAATTTGTTCTATTTGTTTTTTGTATTTATCTATTAATTACATTAAGCACCCGTTATATTATAAATTAGGAGTACTATTTTTCTGTAATTGGGTGTATTTCCCATAGAAAAATAAAGCGTAGTATTATTATTAAAACTTTTGCGTTAGATTGTACCATCACGTCGTTCCATAGTGAAGGCGAAAGAAATCATAGAGTTCCGATGCAGGTCTAAGGTAGTCGCAAATTCAAAAAATTGTTTCCTACTTAAATATTTCATTCTAATGAAGGAAAAAGCTTCTTCCAAAATTCTCAGAGTAATAATGTTTCTTAACTGAATTAAATAATTTATGAATTAAACTTTTTTTAATTAATATGTTTTTTAATTTGATGTCACCTTTTCAATTTCTCCTGCCCTGCCGTAATTTTTGTTGAAGGAGTTGGCAAAGTTTTCCTGCTTTTTATAAACGTCGCGAATTTTCACATCAGTTTCCTTTTTTCTTTTATTCACACTGATTGGTTCGTTCTTTGTGATTCATCACCTAATTTGCACGGTCATGCAGCCAGATGTCTAAATGATGAACATAAATGGAAAACGACAAACATAACTACCAAATGGGTATCTTTTTATGGACAGAAATACGGCGATAACCAATGCAAAGGAAATCATTTATTTCTATTTTACTTTCCTTATAATTCATTTTAAGTTTTATTGTACTGTATTGCAAAATTATCATATACGAAGAGAGTTTAAATTTAACCGGAAATTTTATTCCCAGAGTAGAATAAGACAATGCACACCTCTATACTGCTCAAATGACCCAACACACGCTTGCAAACATCCATTGGATGACTTTTCCACATCCTTTTTGCAGTCCCATTTTTTTGTCTTGCAATTTTGCCGTCTTTGACCCTACCAAAGAAACTTTAGGAAGCATCAAATTTGAGTCTGATAACGACATACAAAATTTTGTGCACAACTGGCTTAACGTATTACAAAAACCTTCTTTAAAGATGGTATTGCAAAACTTTCAAAACGATGGCTCAAGTGCATAGAGTTAGAAGGAGAATGTGTCTAGAAATAGCATGTTTTAGTTTAAAATTATTTCGTTTGAATAGAGAATCATGTCGAAATTTGCAGTTAAATTTAAATGACCCTCGTATAAAAAAATCCCATCGCCAGAATTTTTCTTCATACTTTTTTGCCATTTTATCTTCATATAACCTCCAAAACAATTAACAGGGTCCTAATTTTGTTCTACAGAGTGATTAAATATGCACATTTTAGCTTTGTCCTGTTTTAGAAATGAAACGTTCTAAACTCAAATCCATAAGGTTGTAACCACTCCCTAGTGTAAATTTTAAAAAATTATTCAGTGTAAATCTGTCTTTTAGTAGCCTGGTGACATATCTGGTGACCTGTCAATATAATGTCAGTTCATTCATGTATTCGCGACACATGATTACGTTCGACTTCACTGCAATTCTTGCACTCCTGCACAGGTTATTTCATAATTATCATTGTAACTTGTCGCAATATTGTAAAAATTGATAAACAATTTTCAGTGAAAACAGGATAACCTGAGTCTTCATGGTAATTATGATACAAGAGCAACGATAAATAGAAACGTGTTTTATCTTTCATTTGTAGAAAGAAGAATGCCACCTCCTGTAATTTAGACTTGCAGTTGATACGTTTACGAATTACGATAAAATGAAGCCAAAAATATTGTGGTCACGAATGAAATCAAATGTTGGGTTGGTAAAAAAACAAGGTGAATTGATTTATTTATTGTTGCTGCTTCATAAAAATTACTTTACAGATGGGGAATAACTGAGATATTCAGAATTTGTTTAAATTATTGTACATGAGTATACGTGATAATTATATGTGTGGCTAACTATGATATGATATGACTCGAAGGACCAGCTCTCTCGGCTGAAATGATCAATTTCGCGAGCAACACCAAAATTGTCTATAATGGGTAGATCACCTTAATTAGTCGCAACGGATGACCAATTTTTCATCAAAAAAATGGGACACCAACAAGTCTTTAACGTTATCTTTAATAACTCTAATATTTGGTACTACTTATTATTTACAAAGTGTACAAGGAATTTGGTTGAAGGCAATAGGTCTGGCTATGCTCCTCCGTCCTGAGGATTTTAGTGGTAATAATGAACAAAATGGAACTTCACAAAATTCAGAGGCTAAAATAATACGTATGTTGAAAATAATTTGACTGCTTATTTAAACTAACTGTTACAGGAGTGGTTAGAAACATTGGGAACACATAGACCAAATAACCAAAAAGCAATTATTTTTCTGTTGTTAACTTTCTTAGATCTGGATCCCATGGATTTTAATACTCAATGTAAAGTATTTAAACTTGCTGTATATTCTGGATGTTCTTTCGCAAAAATAAACAAATCCTGAAGAGTAAAAAACTCTTTTTTTTTTGTTTTTGTCAAATATACGGTAGGTTAGATCTTTAAATTCCAAATTTGAATACCACTGCGATTTTTGTTTTGGTTTCCACTTTGCTTCTTGTAACGGTTCTCCAGATTGGTGTTGGGTTATAATTTTGTGGGCTTGACATCGGGAACACTATGAAAAGGATACGAATTAATGATAAGTTTACAGGGAAAGTCGGAAAGTTTATGCAGTGTTTGAATTTAATGAGGGACATTTAGTTGTATTGTTTAGGATATAAAGAGTGGGTATAAAACTTGAAAAGACAATGTTGTACTAAAAAGCGAGATATACACTTTCAACTTGAGGTAGTTAAAACTAAAAGTCCTTCGACAGACCACCGTGTTGTAATAACATGGAAAAAGTTCCGAATGTCGATACGTTACTCTCATAGTATAGTACTCTCTTTCCATGGTATAAGAATAACTACATACTGAAAAAATTTTGCAAGCTTGAATTCAAGTTCTCGGGACGATGCTTAGGGATAAGCAAGTTTCAATTCATTGTGGCAGTTGGCAAGTGCCATTTTCATCTGCTTATTTATCACAATATGCCGTGTTGGTACCATTTTTCAATGATATGGTTTAATAACAAACTGTGAGATATTTAAATAAAACTCTCTCATGCGTAATTGTCAAATTTTGACACATGCGCCGTTACCAATCTGTTCATGTGAAAAACACCATTGGCTGTAATGCCAACCTTACAATTTAACGAGTGGTTACAACCTTATGGATTTAACTGTAGACATGAGAAATCTGTTAATTTTAAATTTAGTCAGCCCGTCAAAGTACCTTAAGAATCTGTTCAGATTTGTGTACGTATATTGAGGAAATGTAATTAAAATGTTTTGCGTAAAATTCCATACCCTCAGCTTTAAATAAATTTTTTCGGGTATCTAATCCTTTTTTACAAGGAATTTAAGTGTTTAAGGAGACGTTTACAAAAAAAGCATAATTGGTGTTGAGAAAACATCAGCATAATTGAATTAACTTTAAATCGCAGCCCAAAACGAGTTTTGTCAATCCCTCTCAAAGATTTTATAAGACATTCTGTTGTACTAAACCTTTAAAAATTTGTCTCAGAAATTACATAGTAATGTTTAATTTTTGTATTAAATCGTTTATTAAATGTTGATTAAAAAAAATATATTAACAAACTTTTGTTAATTGATTTCCACTGAAAAAACAACAAAACTTGCTTCTATGTGGTTGAGTAATGCACTCTTACTTTTAACCTTATCCACATTATAGTAAAAACAATAAAATTCTACAATAAAACTTTTAAGTTTTCTTGGAAAGTACGCAACGAACTCATTTGAAACTATGAGAACTCACTTGGTTGCATGAATGAAGTTTTGGTAGGTTTGGTTTAATTAGGGAAAGCCAAATACACAGTGATTCACGAGAGGCTCCTCAAAACGCAACCAGCAATACATTTTCAAATCAGTCTTTTATTTACTAATACTATTTTTTTAAGTAAAACGTAATTAGCTGTTTAGTTTTCATAATTTGGAAATAAACGTTAATTGTTATAAATAAATTCGAAATGAGCTCGCCAGGGCACATCCTGTATGGATAATGTTTTCTACTCAACCGTTAAGCACTCACTATAGATCAAAATCATATTAGTCTTTTAGTCGTTTAATAAACTGTGTATCAATTCTGTCTAAATGTCAGTTTTAACATGACTTTGTCTGACACAACGTCAATAAGGTTACACAAAACAGATAACAGAAATATTATGCCTTAATATATTTTTTAAATGGTAATAAATGTCAAAGATGGTTTTAAAATTATATTTCTGGTTTTTTAGGTGTGGAACTTCTCTGAATAACCTTGTACACAGTATGGATTAAAAATCAGGCATAGACTAAGTATTGGTTACATCTCATAAGGCGATGTCTTGTCTCAAACTTTTGAGACCAGTTGTTTTCATTGTATTTTTTTTTTAAATCTTGCACTGAGAATAAAATTCGTAATTACTTCGACAAAGCACACCTCTCAGGAATAAAATTTGCAGAATAAACATCATTTAGAAAATGACACATGTAGAAATTTATTTACATTATAATAAATAACACTCTATTTAAAGTTAAGATGAAAAGAATATTCGTTGTCAATATACAGCTATATTAAAAATATGTATATTTTATAGTCTTCGGGGTTTCAAATTACATCCGACGTTACCTTCGGTTTTCTTAATTAACTCCGAAAATCTCTCGATATCAGTATTCGTAAAATTCGGATGTTTCACCTTCGATTGCGTACAGTCATTACAAGCATAATTGATACAGTAAGGCACTTGACCCGTTCCAAAATACTGCATATCGCACTGATTCCGTTTCACTTTATTATCAATCATAAATTTTTCCATAATCGCCCAACACTTACAATCCCACGGATTTCCATAAAGAATTACAATGTGATGCCGAAAACTATCGTCCTCCAGAATCAAATGGGTAAGCTTATTGAAAGCCAACGAAATCTGCAACGAGGGATGTCTCTCCGGAAAATTAAATTTGTTAAAAGTCAAAGGATAACTAATCCTATTGTGGCTCAAATCTAAAACTTCCAGTTGAGTCAGTTCGTTGAATTCCGCAGCATTTATGCCGACAATCCGATTATGCGAAGCGTCAATCACTCGAATCTCTCCAAATTGCTTCACACCCGGCAACGACTGAATTTTGTTGTAACTTATGCTAAATTCTTGCAGGTGTCGAAGATTTTCGAAGACGTTGTAATTCAGATTTTTAATATTGTTGTAATCCAGATTAAGAATTTCTAAGCTGCTCGGTAAACTGTTCGCTTCGATGGTTTCGATTTTGTTGTTTCTAAAGATGAGTTCTTTGGTGAAGTTGCCCAGGAAATCCTCGGTGAAGACGCCAGCTTCGATCATTTCGAGCTTATTCTGCGACAAGTCGATAACTCGAATTTCGCAGTTGTAGAAAGCTTCCTTGTGGATGTACTCGATTTCATTGTTAACCAGACTTAGCTTCCTCAACATCAAGTTATCGAATGTCGTGAATCTGAGTCTTTTAATTACGTTACCGTACAGTTTTAGATATTCCAACTTCGTCTCTTCGGGTTCTGCTGTGAAGGTGTACGTTTTGATGTCTTTTATCTGTCGCACTACGATTAGAGTTGTCAGTCTTTCGAACTTGTCGAAGGAAAACGTGTCGTAGTCCACTGAATGTAACTGGGAGATGTCGCCATCTTCCTTCCCTACTACCAGTTCGGTCCAATTTTCCACATTGTGCCTGTTGAGGTCGGTCAAGTCGTCGCAAAAGGTCAGGTAGGAGTGTCGACATCCGCACTTGATTTCGCCACTGAAGAGCACGTACACAAGAAAAATGAGTTTGTGTAAGTTCGAGGTACACATGTTGACTCTCTGAATTACAGTAGTGTACTAGAATTCCAAACATTGTGAGTAACGATTGTGGAAGATTAACTGGTATTTCCACTTTTGCAAAGAGGGGATTGGGGATTTGTTTACATTATGTAACTATTACGACAATTAACGTTTAGGCCGATGACTGAGTCTAATAATAATGGAAGGTTTAACACAAATGGGAGGTTAAGGACTATTACGGACATTTCATAGGAATTTATAAATATTCGGTTTTTTAGTCGGTTGTTAGCATTTTATTACATTGAATAACTAAACAACACAGTCGGTGATATTTGCAAGAAAGGTAATTTGCATTACATTAGATCATTCATTTAAATAATAATAAAACATAGTAAGTTTTCACATGAGGCTCAAAATGTTCTTGATAACGTAGACATAGCTGAATGTCAATGTTTCTTTATTTTAAATAATGTGCGCAATATTTTTATTTAAAAGTAATATCAGATTATAGTGTAAGGAATACATTCTATATTTAGCTATATTTTAGAGATAAATTTGAAAATTATTATTGCCCGGTGCCACGTGGTATGTCACAGTGTACCTAGATAATCATTATGAGAAGAGTAAGACAAAGAGCGTGATTCAAAACTTTTACCAGTGCCTCAATATTTGGACGTTTCCAATAACTCAAGTTACGAAACTGACAAAACAACACCTTTAGTTGGTTTTTTGAGTTATATTAAAAATATTAATAGAAAAGAAAACGATGTTCCTAAAGGAAAAGAAAATTTAGCTTTACTTACAAATTGGAATTTGAAGAAAAAGTAACTTTCTTTGAGCGAAAAAAATCCTTTGTACAGTTGCACAGGTTACGTTATTAAAAGCTTAATAAAAAAATTTTGCAAATTTTGTGGCATTAAAAGAATATAAAACTGGTGCTTTACATTACGCCTCAGAGAACGCGTTCCAAATAGCAATTTTAGTAGAGCAAATATTTTGTAATTTGAGAGATTGTTTAAAGAATAATAATTTTTGCACTGGTAATGTTTTGGAAGTCCTGAAGAAAGAAGAAATTAGTAAAAATTCGCCTTATCGCTCAATAGAATTTCCAACATGCTGCAGCAGCAAAACAAAATTTACTGCAAGAATGAATCTATACCAGAAAAGCTGAAGAAGAAATAACAAGAAAACAAAGAATAAAATAGTCCAGCAAAAGCCATGCAATGAGAAATTTGGTTGAAAATGCAAATCAAAAATTTGAGAAAAAATAAAGAGTAACAGTTTCGTTGTCCAAAATTTCTTGAGTTTATATTAAAGCTATTTAACTGACAAATTTCGAGATAAAAAATAATTATCTCCGATATTTTGTTTATTGTATTATGTAAATAAGCTTAATACCACTAATTCAATAGTAGCCCCTATTTAAAATTTTCCTAGTAACGCCACTGACCTTTTGGCATTAGTTTTGGGTCAAAAATTGCTGTCACTTGTCAGTGTTTGCTCTACTCTTATCATTATATTATTTAGGTATACTAGTATGTCAGTGTTGTCAAAGTTCTAACCTCATAAATATCTTCAAAAAAATAATAGCTCTAGGGACGTAGCCTTTATAGAATACAGTAAAACAAATCTTGGGGAATAACATATCCATTCGAAAAATGTTTCATTACAGCCGAGGCAATTAATTCGTGGTAGAAAACTTTCCACCAAGTCATGTATACTATTTTATTTTCAAACATCTGAATAATTTCTACGAGAATCAAATAAAGAAAAACACTATATTATTATATAGCAAAGGACTGAAGTGCATCATTTAATCCCGAAAGTGAAAGTTTAACTCCCGAGTCGAATACAAAGGAAATAATCGCCTAGGTATTAAAAGATAATTTTCTTATGTGCTAGAAAAAAAAGTAACCTCACTTGACATACACCTTGTAAAACTTTTATGACTTAAGCAGCTTAAGCCAAAGCACCCACTGGCTATTGTATAACTTAACTCACTTCACAGCTCCATTATGGCAACAATGGACCGAATAATCCTTGCTGTTCGGGTCCATAAAGCTTACAATAGCCAGTTTGACTTGTAAGGGTGCATTGGCTTATGCCGCTTAAGTCATAAAAGTTTTAGAATCTGTATGTCAAGTGAGGTTACAGTATACGCTATTTTTCGCACTCTCGACTAATTTAAAGACGAAATTGTAAAAATAAATTCAAATGTCACTTTGACAGCAGAAATTAAACATAAATAACTCGTCAAATTTTTAAGTTTTAGTATTTCGTTGTCATGGAAACCTCGATTTTTTACTTCAAACCCTTGGAATTAAATGAGCGAGTGAAACAGCGAATTCACACTCAGGAGTGCGAAAAAGCAATTAAAAACACCCAACAATACAGTCAAAAAAGCATTTGACATTTACCGAAATCTTTCAAATATTTGAAAAACTTCAAATATTTGAAAGAATCGGTGAATCATCAAATCATTATAAGCTAGTTTCACTAATGGCCACTAATAGTCGGGTTATTTTGAAGAATGCGGGGATTTTATAACTACCAACCCGCACCAGAACGAAGATGTATGCTTACGTCACTCTGTTTATTGTAACTAATCGTTATACTGTTGGATTCAATTCAATCTATCAATTTATGCTGTCCAAATATGCGAAAAAGCACAAAAAAGTCAGATCGATTTATTCTTGGAATTATTTCTAAATGATTCTTTGAATTTTTCCAAAATTCTGTGGATATGATTAATATCCTGTTATGCGTGTCTAAATTTGTTTTTATTTATTCCCTTCACACAGCAGATGACGTCACCTTAAAAAATCATTAAATACATTTTTGTTGAAGATTATTGCCGCAAGTATAATATACTGTGTGAATAACATTTTTTTAACTTTAAGAATTAATTATTATCTAAAAAAATGATGAACCATTGGTTACAATTATTGTTAGATTGACCAAATCACAACAAGTTTTATTATCAAAATTTTACAGTTTGTCCTAGAATCTCTATAACAACCTTTTCTGAAATTTAGCCAAGATATTAATCTTCATTTAATAGTCACAGAAAATTGAGATTAGTATATTAAAGAACGAGTTTCATAAGGCAAACATCGAGGCACGAATCCAAGTGCCTCAATGGCCTTATGAACAAGTTATTTATACTATTTTTTCTACCGCACACGTTTTTTCCCAAAATTTAATTAAAATTTGCATTTTTTTTAATCTGGGGACTTTTGTCGTGGTTGGTGATGGGTTGGTCTGACACTAACCACGAAATATTTGAGGTTCGAATTTTCACAACAACAATTGTAATTCGAATAAATTCGAGTTTTCGTAATTTAAAATTGGTTAAAATGTCTTGCGAAGAAGTTACGCGTCCGGAAACGTGGGAAATTTAAGTTTAGATTTGCCACTGACATTCACCTGACATTTCTCGTCATTGCTACCAATCTTACCGATCTAAATTACACCAGATCTATTAAAGCACGCCTTTCCGCTATTAACGAACTGCTGTGACGTCATTTGCGTGCGTTAATAGCTCTATTAGAAAACCAAAAAACGTGGGCGGTAGAAAAAATGTATTTATTTATTCACGCAGAAAGTTTTTAAAATTATGTAAAATGGTAAAATATTTTTATTTTATAAATTCTTATAATTACCGACATATTTCTAGCAGGCCTCAAAAAATAAATAATGCAATTTGTTGTATTCATTAAATCAAAATCGGCCTAGCTAATTTTCACCAAACTCTTGAAACCCAGTTAGCGTTATGAGTGTTACATATTCAAATTGATGCATTTTAATCCTCCACTAAAAAATTCATGACGTCATTGCGTAATCTAATATTAAAAGGAAAAGATTTACTCGCATTATAAAAGCAATGTATGCGTATTAATTAATCATTCTATTCTATTTTAGAATTATAATCTTGTTTATAAGCACCCAAATGCGGGCATAATTTGGCCTTTATGGCAAAAATCAGTCAAAAATTGCAAAGCAAATTTACAATAATCAATTATTCAAAGAAGCTCCGATATTCAACATTTTTATTAAAGTTGGGAAGATAATATTTCATTAAATCATTTCATAGTCAACTTCAAATTCTTCTAAATTTCTTTTGAATAACGTTTTCCGCTTCTTGAGTTTGCATTTTGAAAATCGAATTATTGAACAAATAAACAACGTGGTAAATAATCAATATTTCGTTCAAAATATTTTAGAAACTCAAATAGAATAAAACGTTGTATGTACCACGGGCATAATTGTCGATTGTAGCCCTCGGGAAATTAAAAGTCCTCCTTCGTCGGGCTTCAAACATTCCCTCGTGCCATAATCTCCCTAATTATGGTATAAATACATAACTAACTAAAATACTAGCAGTAAATAATAGAAAGATAAATAATAAGAAAATCAAGATCAGTAACTACTTAGCATTATTTTATTAGGGTATGTGCGGAACAAAATAGGGTTTGAAATAAATAAATTAGTTATATACATTCACTACACGATTCTTTTTTTTTTAGCTTTTATAGGACAACCACGTTTTCTTTTGGCATCCAACAATACATTCTTGGCCACAGGAGGTGCTGTAATATATTTGTGACGAACCAAAAATTAAAAGTATCCAAAATTTTTCATTATCTTACCTAGAATATGTTTGTAAATATAATTTTTCAAAAAGCACATATTTCCAGTTGGAAACGCCCACAAGCAAGAATAATTTATAGTTGGAAGCTTTCTAATTCGTTCGTTCAGTTGCCCCCATGGTACAATTTGGTCCAAGTGGGTAAATCTATAGTTAACTGTGTGCGCAAAATGATGCGTAGAATTTTCGTATCCTCTTGAAAACGATTATATCCTATAGGAGATGAAGTCGGAAAAGTGAAAGTACCTTTCATAAAGTGTAGGTACTCGTTTAAAAAAAAACACAATGGTCATAAGATTTTTGTTACTTCGCTTTTATTCGTACTAAAATTTGATTTTTGTATATTAAAATTGCGCATTTTTAGTTTTTTATCACATCACATTTCGAACATTAC